CACAGATCGTGTCAGAGGCATTTTGCAGGCTAACCCAAGTTTAACCATTGAAACATTAGTGGACGAGTGTGGACTAAGTGCTGGCCGAATTTCAAACATTTTACACAATGAGCTGAATGTTAGAAAGATATGTGTGAAGTGGGTCCCACACCAGCTAACTGCAGAACAGAAGGCAAAATGAGAGCAGTTTTCACACGAAAATTTGGAACTGTTCGATCCTAATGGTTTCAAACGTTTGACTGATATTGCTACAGGTGATGAGAGCTGGTTCTACTACTACTACACAGTGCCTAACACGACCGACAACATGGTGTGGTTGGCTGAAAATGAGCCCCAGCCAAAGATTCTGCGACAGGATTTCCTGTCAAAGAAACGCCTGTTCACCGTGTTTTTTTGACTATGAAGGCCCTCTGTAGGTGGATGTTCTACCTGAGAGGCAGACAATGACTGGTAATTACTACAGGAACAATATCCTTCCTGAACTCTACAAATCAATCACCAAAAAGAAACCCACAGTTGGCACATCCCGCACACAGCTTTTGCATGACAATGCATCGAGCCACAAGACGGCTGCTGTACAACAGTACCTGGAGGAGCAGAAAGTCCATGTCATTGCCCATCCACCCTACTCTCCTGACCTGGCACCCTGTGATTTCTGGCTTTTTTCTAGAATCAAAAGGGAGTTGGCTGGAAAGCCATTTTCTCGCATGCAAAATCTCTCCAAGGCTGTCAATTCACAGTTGGCAAGTATACCTCAGGAAGAGTACCGTGGAGCATTTGACACGTGGCTGACCCGTTTGAACAAATATGTGGCAGCTGCCGGTGACTATTTGAATAACTAAAGGCAAAAAAAAATTTTTTTCATTCATAATTGCCTATGTGGCAGGGTCACTTCCAAGACCTTTTGAACGCCCCACGCAACGATGAAAACTTATTTTGCTTATCTTCCCCTGTGAGGCCAAGGTCGCTCCGCCAACACGTGCATGTGGGATGCTTGCAAGTCGCGTGACGAAGTGAATACAAGAGCGTACAGCACGCCAGTATCCCGTGGGACAGTTAACGTGATGACACTGAGCCCTGCGGCCGTCATGTGACGTCCCAGGCGCATTCAAATTGCCTGGGCTCAAAGTGTTAATGAAGGCGATTTTTTTTTTGTTGAGAAAGGAAGCCTGCTAGGAAGGAAGGAAAGGCAGGAAGAGTCTTAAATCTCACCTCAAGAGGTTTGAAGATGGTGGGAGCAGATCTGAGGATGCAATACATGCAGTGAGCCACGTGGAATCCGTGCGTCCAATTGTGGTACGGAACTCTTCGGTAATTCCTCTTCACGGTCAATGTGAACCGGATCACGGATTCCACGTCGAAACGGGAAGAACCGAAGAGATCGAAGAACATGCCGACGGCCATTTTCGCCTTCTCCGGGTCTTCCTTCCCACCGGCCGTGAAAAAGTAGCTGAAAAGACGGACGGGATCAGACGCCACGGAATTCGGATCGGCATCGCGGAATTTCCACAGGATCCGGCAAGGGACCGACTTATCGAGACCGGGGACGACAGTCAACGGGTTGGAGCCGGCGAAGAGCCTGTGGAGCTCCTCCTCCGTGCAGGAATTGTGATAGGAGAGGACCTCCAAGGCGACTTTGTACTTTTGCTCCGACCGCTGAAGCTTCTCGTAGAGCTTGGCCTGGTGCAACGCCAAGCCGCAGTAGACGGCGAACAGCGCAAACGCCTCCTCGTCTTCCTGCGGGCGAGAAAAACAGGGATCGTGACGCGGGCGGGCGGGCGGGGGGGGGGGGGGGGGGGGGGGAGAAGCGAGAGGGGACCGGGGGGAAGAAGTGTGGAGGTCCGGCTTTCTTGTTGACCATCTGCATGACCCCGATGACCTGGCCGCGGAGGCAGATGGGCATGGCCAGCAGCGACTGGGTCGTGTAGCCCGTCTCCTGATCGATGGCTCGATGGAATCGCGGGTCTGCGTAGGCGTCGGGGATGTTCATGCTCTCCGCCGTCTCGGCCACCCGGCCGGCTATGCCGACGCCGAGCGGGATCCTGTGGGGATCACGTGACCTTTCAGTCTCCATGTAATCTCGAGGGGGGAGAAGCGCCGCGGGCTGACCGGAATTCCCTGGGACTCGTCGACACGGTTTGGGTCGGCGACGAGGGGTCGGGCAAGGTCATGTCGAAGATCCGGGAATACAGTTCCTTGGTCTTGTGGTCGACGAGGAAGAGGGAAGCGCGGTCGGCCGAGACCAGCTTCTGAGCGAAGTCCATGATTTTCACGATCAGCTTGTCCATGCTGGCCATGTCGTGGAACATCGACCTGCGAGCGAAAGACGGCGTCGTGAAATTTTTCGTTCGCAGGTGGTCAGAGCCGGCAAGAAACGCGTCCGAGAAACTTAATCGGGAATTCCTAGCGAGTTCATTGCCCGCGTCGAGTTGCAACGACGGTCGACGTCGTGCCCTTTCCTTCCTTTCGCTCGTCCGAGTTGTGGTCGGGGAAGTGATTACATTATCGAGAGACGAAAAACTTTCCGAACGACGCTTGCTTTCATAGTTTCCCCCGATGTATAACCTCATTCCTGGGGGAACGGAAGGAACTCGAGACGCATTCATCACGAGATGAATGGGGTCGTTGGTGTCCAGACCCTTCATTCCCTCCCCGGGTCATTCTGCAGTCTTAATGCGGTCTCCCCCGCGCTCTTGGGGGGGGGGGGGGGGGGGGGGGGGGGGGGGGGGGGTTATGACCCCCATAACCCCCCNGGGTAGCCCTGAGCATGTTACTTATGGAAATTCCTGCTGTTTGGCATACATGTTGACATGGTCAATGCATTAACAAAGTATGCATGTGACTGACTGGTAGATATTCTGAGGAGGGGGCGAGGGGGCGAGATGAATGAATTCGTCTGGGATGGTGTCATTGTCCCGACCGATCCCCTGGGTGTCCGCTGATTTTTTTCTTTCTTTAAACGTGTTGGAGGAGACGTTTGGATTTTTTAAGCTTTTTTTTTTGGCATCTCGACTTTCTCACACTTTGGCGCGGGGCTTTACGCGAAATTTCGTTCGTAAGTCCAGAGCCGAGTTTACTTGAATTGGCGAGAATTCGCGAGATTTTGACATCTTGTGCACTTGTAAATTTCTTACAATTTATTCTCCAAGGGAATAACTTCGCGTTGAAATTTGATTTCCTGCGGTGACAGCAAAGTTCGGTGCTGGCATCGAAATCGGTCGTTTTAGGTTATCGAGAACGTTTCCGGCATCAATGGATTTACCGAAGCCATGTGAGATGTAGGATTCTCGTGATTTTTCCATTCGTTTACTTCGATTCGTCCCAAAGCCTCAGTAGTTCAAGTTGGCTCGGCAGTAGCTTCTAAAGGGATTCACGTGGGTCTTTCAAGGGTAGGTTCACCTCAGTACTTTTAGGTACTTCTTCGGTGTCAGCGAACAAAAAAAAAGTCACAGTCCAGGTGGCTCGGTATCTAGAGGGTCTCGCACCATCAGCCCCTGGGTCTGATGGTCTGATGGTGCGAGGAAGCAGGTATCTTTTGGGGGATGGCAAATCTTAAAAAAAAAATCTTAAAAGGAAAATGGGAAATTCAGAACTTCTGAGGATAAAAAATCGAGAATAAAAAATTTACAGAATACTGCCGACATCTGATGAACGGCCCTCGCGGTTCCGAGATTATTTCATCGTCGCGCATGGAACTTTGTGTAATCAGAGACTTTCGGGAAGGGAGGGATTTTGTTCATTTTTAAGGCTGGGCGTGGCCGAGAACTCGAGTTGTGAGAGGGCGAAGTCGCATGGAAAAGTCCTGCTTTGTTCCGCGAATGTCGTGCTCGATAATGAAGGGCCTTATCGTAATTTAATAGATCGATCGGATGGAGCGGGGGCGAAACGAGGGTGAATCTCCTTCAGAGCTTCAGAGACGCTGGAAACGCGGAAGCGGGGGGAAAGCGGTCGGCCTGGGGCAGAGGGCCTGGGGCAGAGGGCCTGGGGCAGAGGGCCTGGGGGGGCAACGCTTCGTCGGGCCGACCGGTTCGGGCTCGAGGCGGTTTCGATTCCTCGGGGGATTCTGACGCTCGCGATCGATTGGATTTTCCTTTCTTTTCCGGTCTTTTGACTACGTTCGTTTGAAACTGCAAGGAGCAAGATTCGAGCAAGAATTTCAGGTTATTATTTTTATAACTATTCTAATTATTATCATTATTCCAATTGTTATTCTAATTAATCTGCATCCAGCATCTGAGTGGCTGAGGAGTCGCCGATCGTCCATTCCCCGAACGGCCATCCCATTCGGCACAACGAGGTTGTGTCAAAATTGATAACAGGTTGAAATGTTGAGACATCCACATTTAAATAGGCTCCACCGATCGACGCGAGATGTCGCCTAAGCGCCGATTCGGCGATTCTCACCTTGGTGCCATTGGAACGAGTTCCCTGTATTTTTCAAGCAGTCCCCGATCTTTTCCCACGTAAAACTTAAGGCTTTGGAATTCCTAGATAGACCCATTTAAGGATATAATCCGGCAGAAGCAGACTCCAGGTACCACTGGCCAGGGGGTCCGAGGAGAGGATGCGGTAGTTTATTAAGTCTCTACAGCTATTGACTTCAACATGTTGCAAATCAGGCTGCCGTGCCTTGATTCGAGTAAGCTCTTAGGGATACAAAACAACTTTTTCTGCAGAGATAAAACGATATGCCATGATACCATGAGTTTGTTGCTTCATCCGGATGAAAATGACTGCCTCGATTCGGAAAACTGATGCAACGGTCCCCGGCTAACGTTTGAGTTGGAGTTGCTATTTTTTTTTATTATAAGAAAACATTTTATTTCCAGCATCAATTTTATTAAGACATGCTTCATCCTTCTCCCTCCCTTTTTTTTTTTTTTACTGAAACAAAGCAATATCATTCGCATGAAGACAAACTCGATCCTCCCGAGCTGCATTTCGACTTCTTCAGCGTTCGCTTAAGGTCTTCATATTAAAGAAAGATATTGGCTAAATAGGCAGTTGCCTGGCTGGGCAGTAAACTGCCCCCAACCAAGGTGCACAGAAAGAGTAAGAGAAGTTATTTGGTGCCGAAATTGTCCGAAACTACCCAAGGGTAACAGAAAATGCCCAACCTTTGGACCCAGAAGCGTGAGACCAGAAGTCCCATGCTTCTGGGTCCAAAGTCCAAAGAGTTGTTTTGCGTGCGACGAAAGGCTTACTCAAGTCAAGGCACTGCAGCCTGACTTACAGCGCGTTGAAATCAATAGCTTGTTTTTTTTTTTTTAGATTTCTAGTCGCTCCGTAAATGGCGTAATAAGGGACCGAGACTCATGTATCTCTTTTAAGAGGAATAGAGCGGGATAATTAGTCGGCGGGGGTGGGTCTGGATTCTTTGGGAGCGATGCCAGACATGTACTTCCTCTGCTGGTCAGAAAGGGTTCAGCCAATGAAGTACCCAACTCGAATTCCGATCCAACGAAGGAAGTACAGCCTCGGCGAGATTCCTCCGGGATGTTAGTACTCGATGGAGTACTGACATTCGATCCTTCATTGGCTCTCCGGAGGGATCTCTACGATGACAGTACTGAACAGAGTACTATCATCAATCTAATATGTATGCAATCTGGCCATCTAATCGTAATTGATATTAGCGCCCGTTCAGACTAGGGTAATGGAGTAAATGGAGTAATGGAGTAAATGGAGTAATGGAGTAAATGGAGTAATGGAGTAAATGGAGTAATGGAGTAATGGAGTAAATGGAGTAATGGAGTAAATGGAGTAAATGGAGTAATGGAGTAAATGGAGTAATGGAATAAATGGAGTAATGTAGTAAATGGAGTAATGGAGTAATGGAGTAAATGGAGTAATGAAGTAAATGGAGTAATGGAGAAATGGGGTAATGGAGTAATGTAGTAAAGGAGTAATGCCCAAACGCTGATAGTTCAAGGCTAGCCCTACGTATTTTCAATGTTTAACTGTTTCGTCTCAACATCGAGGCAACATTGTTACGTTGACAAATCAACCTTTGCTCAGTGTTGAAGCTAGCTCAGTGTTGCTGCGTCGAATGGGATGTCCTTGACGGGTGAGTTTCGAATGTCTCGAAGCGAAGCAAATTGCGAATCCAGGAAATTGCATCGAAGTCAGGCTGCGGCCTGATGACTTTACGATCCGGCGCGATAAAATAAAAGATGGCTGCCGGAGAGACGTGAGAACGCTTGGTGCCTGTCAAAATCGAGGCGTGCCACCAACAAAGGTCAGAACGAGTACTTCGTTTTGACCTTTGGAGCTTCGACCGTCCGGGAACTCGTGAGTTTGATGAGCAGCACCTCATCGGTGCACCTCATTCAGTGATGAAGGCGAGAGACCGGCGTTGAACAATCTCAGCTCGATGTGACGAACTTCGCGTCAACTCTTGCTGAGCTTCGTTTACCGTTTTCACTTATTTCAAGACTTTCAAGCAGATTACCAGAAATAATTACTCTGATATCGTCGGCAAAGTTTGCCATCGTCGATGGTTGTCGCATTTGCGGCATTTCTGAAGGCATTTTCCGGTACGTCGACTCCGGGTACTGGTCCAAGTACTGGCACCACCTCGGACCGGACTGGCACCACCTTGTGCCTCCAGACTCACGTGAGATGGCCTCCAGCCTCCCAAGTCATCTCGTGTGAGGGTGAGACGAAGACCCAATAACTTTTTCTCACCGATGAAGGAGCCGGAAAAACGGTAACGAAGGCGAGAACGACTGTTGGTGTTTGGCAAACTGATCGAGGAAAGGATTATCGCGCTCATTTACGTAATGGAAAAAAAGGCTCATAAAAAAAAGGGCGATGGAATGGATGGAGAAAAGATCGATTGGGTCGTTCTCCGACCGCAGGGATATGGAAGCAATTTCCCGGGAAATATGGCCAACTTGCAGAGGGGGGGGGGGAAAGACACGATCGATGGAATAATGCGATGGGAAGCGTCTTCTCTCTTTCGATGGAATGAGCCGGCTCGTGAGTGATGGAAATGGACTCGGCCGTTTCCGTTTTAAGCAGTTCTTCCGAAGTCGGCCGGGAAACGCTGCACGGCGTGCGTTTGCGCAGCCTGGAGTTTGGCGAGCGCTTTCGGCACCTGTTACGAGTGGTATGAGTTCGGAAAGAAATGTAGCCAGGTAATTTGATACTTCGGCTCCTATCTGCGCATAAAGAAAAAAGTTTTACGGGTTGGCGACTTTGAAATCAGCCTGTCCGAGGGAAGAAGGATCTCGTAATGAACAACGGTCTGGGCAGAATGTTTTCCCCGCGATTCGCGCGATTTCTTTCCTGCTAGAGACGCTCGACCCGGAGCAGGGGACTCTTCTAGGGGGGACTTCTCATGGAATGAATGTCATGAGCAGCTGGTTTTCCGTTTCCCGCCAGGAAAAAAAAAAACTGATGAGTTTAAATTTCCCTCTAGATGGAGGCTATTTCTGGGAAAGTGGCCAAGGCTGCCCATTCGTCCCAGCGGGGTGCAAGATCCAGAGGAGTCTCTGCTCCGACTGATGGGAGCTGCCGTGGACTCGATCTTAAAAGAAGCACGGTTTCACAGTCGTCTCCGACCGGCGCGAGGGGGGAGGGGAGGGGAGGGGGGGGAATCTGTAATGCACGGATCATCAATCTTTGAGCACCGAAGACGCCTGCACATGACAGTTCATCCATTGATTTTCTTCTGACAAAAGCTCTCGAGCTGACGTTTAATTTCGGGCGGTCGGGAAGAGGCATCGTCATGCTCTGCAGACATGATCATGTCGTGCAGGCATGACCATTTCGTGCCTCAGCATCACGGCTGCAGGAACTGGAACGCGAAGTCGTGCAAAATCGGTGCCGTGCAAAAACGTCGGCGCGGAAGGAATTTTGGCCGATGAAATTATGCGAAACTCAACTTCGTGGAGAAGTTGAATTTCATCGAAGATTCTCGCGAATCTTAAGGAAAAAAAAAAAAACAAAAATCCGGCACCGGCAGTGCGCGCCCCTGGACAAAACTCAGCAATTTAAGGGTTAAAATTTGAGGGAACTTAATTTTGGCGCCCCATTTTTTTTCTGCTCTTTAAGGTAAATTCCTTTTTAAAATTTCCCAGATTTTTTTTTTTGCGCCAAACCTGAACATTCAAAGCATTTACCCTCTCCCAGAGAAATGTATCTACGATAAGGATTTAAGCCAACATTCAATTGATTTCGCAACATTTTAACATTTAAAACATATATAGGTCGGCTGGACATGAGGAAACAAAAGGGGAAACAATTGTTGCAATAAGAACGCAATAATTAAAATTAATTAAAAATTGATACCATACATTTTTTTTACCATTTTACCATTGCAATACAATCGATCTCAAATCACTTCATTTAGATTTCAAGAGTTTTTCGCAGGGATAAAAACTGCATGGGGAATTTTTTTTATTGTTTCAAGTTCCGTCTCTCGTCTAGAATCTCTTCCAATTACTTTTCGGCGTTATTCGATCGAAATGAAAAATGTTGGATGCCAAGACGGAGACTCCTCTTTACTTCCTCGATGTCATCCCGAAGGGGGAAAGACGGGGAAAGAGAGGGAGAAAGGAAATATCGCTCTCGCAGAATGCCTCGCTAATCTCGGGAACGTATTGACCCTGGCGATGGTTTTCGCAGGCGCTGATGCCTAACTAGGCCACGTGAATTGACCAAAGGAGAGTGCCGATTCTTTCATCTTGGGGGGAGGGGGGCTAAGAAAGGACCGGGAAGGGGCCTGGCAACAGTATAGGCACTGCCGCATAAGTGACCCCATTCTCCAGACACGTCGGAATACGCATTGATGCTACAGAAACAAAAGAAGATCGAAGGAGAGAGAGGGAACCGGACCTGACGACGTCAAGAAGGAAGTCGGTGAGCTGCCGCTGCCGATGGAGGCTGGTCCCCGTGCCGGCGTAGTGGATGGCCACGGAGCCCCAGGCGAGGAGGACCTCCCCCAGCCCCGCATCCTGCCTGCTGAACGGCGTCGTCCCTCCTTCCTCCCTCCACAGTTCCAGCACCCCGATCAACTCGCCCTCGTCCTTGTGGAATGAAGGTATCGCACTGGGAATCTGCGCTTCGCTCGGTGATGCATGTTGGTGCGTGGACCAAACGTTGCAAGAAAGCACGTTCACGAGCCATTTATAGTTCCTTCTCTTTGTTTATTGTTATAGTTATCTTTTTTGTGGTGGTTTCCCTTTATTTTTTAAAATTCTATGATGCTCTAGGAAACGCACCGATTCCGATTCATCGGAGCTCCAGGAACTTCGGAGATTCAATGACAAGGCGTTACAATCGACTTCCTCGCGATGCAAGCTTCCATTTTCCGCGTATGATAAAGAAGACACAAGAATCGATTTCCCTCGCCATCGATCCCCTTCCTCCTTCAAAAATTCCTCAAGGCTGCCGCAAGAAATCGCACTGCTTCGCGCATGCATCGCTTCCAGCCGAAGATTTATTTTTGGCATCGCAGGATAAGCAAGGAGGAACAGTTTCGATGGCTGTCGCCAAATTCGCGAGTGCGAGTGAAAGGAACACGTGTCTCATTCGAGCCCCGGCCTTTTCATTCCTGAACGAAAGGTGACGGAACGAACACGATCTTGGCTAACGAAGAGCCGGGAGCCTTCAATCGGAATACGGAATTACTTGGGGGGTTTTTTCTGTTTCAGGGGAAAAAAAAAATTAAGCGGGTCGGAAAATGGAAATGCGAGGATAAAGGGGAAATGGAACGATGAGAAATAAAAAACGGGAAAATGTAAGTCATATATCTTGCTTGAAACCGATCAACTCTCCCTCTAGTCTCATCTCAATATGCGAAAGAATGCCGGAAATGTGGTCGGAAGAGGAATCAGCTGCAAAAATAGGGACTGTACGACTAACGGCGGTGAAAAAATGTTCGCACGTTTTCTGCTGAGACATTCATTGTGTTTGGCACGAGGTAATTGTGATGAGAATAGTTTTCACTAATTCTTTAATTGTTATGCCAACACTCACTGGATGACAATCTCACATAGGATTGAAAGAAAGCTCATTTTCTCGAGGGCAAGATGAGAGCTTACCGGCAATTTCTCGGCGGGCTTCTCGCTCCCGAATGCAGCAAGCCAGGAAACGGAAGACGGAACCCCATTCCTGGTCGAATTCACCGCCAACTGCGAACGAAGGATCGGGGACGGATGGCAAACGCGAAACGGAAAGGAATACGCCCTGGGGAGGGAGGCTCTGTTGACGGGGGGAAGGAGGGAGTGGAGGGAGGCTCTGTTGACGGGGGGAAGGAGGGAGTGGAGGGAGGCTCTGTTGACGGGGGGAAGGAGGGAGTGGAGGGAGGCTCTGTTGACGGGGAGAGGGAGGGAGTGAGTGGAGGCTCTGTTGACGGGGGAAGTGGAGGTCTCCTACCTTGAAGAGGGGATACGCCAGGACGTGGACGTCGCTCCCGATCCCCGACACGCCCAGGGGCATCCTGGGGTCCCGCCTCAACTCCTCCCCGGCGAGGCAGACGGACTTGCGGTTGAAGGCGACGTAGGACGCCACCGTCCTTCCTTCTCTGATCATTTCGCTGTCGCTATCCATCAGCAGAAGCTCTTCCTCGCCGTCCACCTTCTCCATCCTTCGAGGGATATAGGGTTATGGGATGCATTCCTGTCAAAATTTCTCGGGGATGCAGCCTACTTCCGGCATTTGTTCCTGAGAATTTAATGGGACGCGAATACACGGACACCATTTCCCACGAAAGACCGGCTTGGCAGGTAAATCCATGATAAAAAGGAAAAAAAAAAAACTACTAAAGTGTAGAAAAGTTTGATCATAGCGACCACACGAAATCACTTTACACAATTCATCTTCAACTTATGGGAACACCAGGCAGCCCGAAATGGAAACATTAAGTCACTTTTTCTTCCCTGGCCGTCACGGATCTGGAGGCCGCGAGGCGCATTTTAAAGAGACCGAATCCCTCCATTGCCTGCGAAAACGTCTCGTGCATGCCTTTCCCGCTTCCTCAATCGATGCAGCGTTTCTTTCCTTGCGGCCCGTCCCAGTTCCATTTGCAATCGCCGGGAGCCAAAAAGATCCGATGAATTCCACGCATTCAGGCCTTGGAACTCGGAAATGCAAATAGCGACTCCGTTTCGACGTGCAGACGGCATCTAGAATCTCGAAGGGATTTCGACGAGACTCACTCGGGATTCCTCTGATGTCGGAGGGTGCTATAAGAGGTGGTGCTTTAAAAGGTGGTGCTATAAGAGGTGGTGCTTAAACGCGTGTTAACTCCATTTTCCATAGTGGTACTTTACTTTCTAATACAATTAGAAGCGTTCGTAGCGACGCAGAAGGGACCGACCCGTTTCGATCGAATCCCCGAGCCAGTTTCGGATTTTATTGGGATAAGGGATAAACGATGCTGATCCATTTCTGTCGCTTTTTTAAATCCCTGGAGGGCTCGAGAGGCTGCAGCCTCTCCTCTCGATAAACCTCGACTCTGCACCCCGTTACCTTTCAATTACTGTGAATAAAACATGAGCCATCCCATTACGGCTGGAAAGGGTCTCTCCGGGGGGGTGGGGGGGGGGGGGGGGGGCAGACCATATACCGGGATGATAGACAACCCAGCCGTCCAAAACCCTTCGGTATGGAGAGAAGCAAGGATTGTGTTGAATCACGCCCCCAAGAGCGAGGCCACACTGTGCCTTTGCCTTTTCGGTCATTTCCTAAAGATGCTTGCGGGTATGGTCGATGGCCGTCCGGAATTTTCTGCGTCGGGCAGACCGGTTGCACAGCTGTTTTTTGCAAATCGTGTCGAAATGCGGAGACTCCCCACTGCGGAACCGAGATGATTTTCCCGTCCGGAGGCATGAGGTGTTCCAAAAAGTGACGTTCGAATTCGGTGGCGGTGTGCAGGATCGACGAAGGGAAAGCGCGATGGGATTCGGTGCGATGAGTTGCATTTGGAATGGAAATTTTTCTTAATAGTGACAATTTTCTTAAATTAGCCATTCATCCAGAATGGCTAATTCGAAAGAGGCTGCCGGGATGCCCGACCGACGAGGCGAGAACATCGGATCAATAGGGCGTGGGCCCATTCGTTGAAACAAATACTAACATTCTGCAAAAAAAAAAATTGGCAGGTGCAAATTTCGCGCGAATTGCCCAATAAGCCCGCGGAAAGGGGCGCCGAGAAAGCGAAGAAGAAAAACACTCCCACCTGGAGGAGGTGCTGAGCACCAGCCGCCCCTGCTGGACGAAGTGGAGGTTGTACCCGGAAGCGCGGACGGCGGAGGCGAGGGAGGAGCAGAACCCCTGAAGGGAAAGGGCATCCCCCTCCCATCCTCTCCCGAGGAATTCCAGCAGGTCTCTCACCACTCCCTTCCCCTCCACCTGCGGCCAGCCGAGGGTTTCGTTCCATCTCTTCGTTTTTGCGACGGTAATGGGACAATTATGCTGTAGAAGAAATGATCCGATCCTTCCCCGTATCCATATAATTTGGATACGGGGGAGGATTGGATAATTTGCATGCATTCTACAAAATAGCCAGTGGCTACTCCGCGTCGAAATAATAAAATGAATAATAAAATGAATGAATAATAAAAGCCGTTCCAGCCGAAGCAAGTCTTTCAAGAATCTGGAATCACTGAGTTCCGCGAAGAAGTCTCGCACGAGCACCGCTTTCCTCAATCGCGGCGCCTCGTCTCTGAGCCCTGCATTGGATGGCGACGTGACCAGGACGTCCACGGCGATGTTCGACGCTGTTTTGCATCGGGACTCCGTTTTATTCGGTTCTTTTGACTGTCGGTAAGAGCTGATAATTAATGCTTGAAGCTTATGAACCCTCAAAAACCTCGAAGATACTCAAGTTACTTAAGTAAACGGCTCCACTGGCGCTCAGGATTCCAGGTCGGGGGGGCGGAGGGGGGGAGGGGGGAGGGGGGGGGGGGGGGGGACAATAAAAGACGAGGTGCCTTAAGGAGCAGGCGGGTCACGAAAGCCTCTTACAAGCGCAGTCTTGTTTCTCACTTGCGATCAGGGCCGGATTAACCCATAAGATAATAAGGCTATAGCTTTAGGCTCTCGTATTTTTAGGCCCTACTTTAGGCCCTAATTTTAATTTTTGTTGCAATACGTAATTCATACTTAGACCCTTCCCTCCCTTTAGCCTTAGGCCCCTCATAACCTTAATCCGGCCCCGCTTGCTATGTGGCTTTTCCAGGAAACATTGTTAAATGAAGCTTCTTTTCTTCACCCTTGGTCTACGTTTACGCTAGATATCACCACTCAACTTCCATAATTTCCGGCATTTGTGGAACAAACCCTTTTTTTTTTTAATGCAAACCAACTTTTTTTTATTTTGGCTAAATCAGATACTCGTATTAACGAAACGAAACTCGTATTAGCCCAGTTACAACGTACAAGCACCCAGCCAAAGATCACGACTGAACTCTTCAAGGCTCCCGCGACTTTGTGGCCCCGCCCCCCCCCCCCCCCCCCCCCCCCCCCCCCCCCCCCCCCCCCTCATCCCGAGGGGAAAAGCCTCGCCTCGAGCCACTCACCAGCGGGTCCTCTTCATCCCAAGTGTCGACTCTCCCGTCTGCCTTGCCTGTAATGACATAGCAAAAGAACAGGTCCCTTTAACGGCGTCCGATGATTCAGAGCACGACGGAGAGCTACTGTAAATTCGTTTGCATCTGTTTGCGTCCAAACACAAAGGCGACACGACATCAAAGGACTGCATGCTCTCGTCCTGGAAGGTGCGGTTTTACTTGGCATAGACCTCTCGTGTATGAGCCATATATGAGCCACGAAGCCCTTCATGGCTCATGCATGGCTCCATTCATCGCTGTCGCATGGAGCCTGATGCGGATGAATGCGAGTATTGATGGCCCTTGCGAGTTTTTTTTTCCCCCTTTTCTTTTTTACCGATGCAGTTGAAATAGCTACCTACAGCCTCACGTCTCTCGTGATTCGATGAAGCAGAGCACATGCATGAAACACAGTGCCAATGAGATGAAAATTCATCATCCGTGAGTAAGCTCAATTAGTGTACGCACTCCTTCCTCAATATGAAAACAAACGAAGCTTATGTTATCCTAGTAACACGACCCAGAAGAACGGGGGGGAATGAGACGGGGAAGAGCCTCTGTCTCCCAAGTCCAAGTAGGAAAGACGGAAGGAAAGAAAAGAAAGCAAGCGGACGGGGTCCTTGCACAGAGCGCACAGAGCGCGGCCCAGACGGAGCAGGCGTGGACCTCCGCGCTGGGAAACGCGGCTGGAATTCGTGCAGGTAACATCGACTGGGGAGGCAGGATCGATGGACGCTTTCGCGGAGAGAAAGAGAAACACGGAGATGACATTCGCATCTGTTGACATTCGCACAACCGCTTCTGCTTCGCCCCATCCGCCGACCAGAGCGAAACCGCATCGAAAGAGCTCGTAAGAGCCTCCATCCGCTCGCGGAAGCGACCGACCCCACGCTTCAGTCGCCATCGAAACGAGACCCTGCCAAAAAAAAAAAGACACTGCCGAACGGAGAGAATCGAACCCGACCTGCAGCGGATACGGACGAGAACCCCTTCCTGGCTGCAAGCCATTCCTCCAAGACTTCAGTGTCCACGTTCTCCGAGACGTACGCGCTCAACCAGATCGGATTTTCTTTGAGGAACTGCCGCACGTCCTCCTCCCGCACGCCTGTTGGTCAAACGTGAGAGAAAATCACTCGAAGATCCTCATTCCACACACAAATATCTTTTCGATTCAATACAGGGAGTCCATGCAAGTTTTAAAAAAAATCGTTTCTTTTTAGTTTTTTTTTTTTTTTCAAGAATCCAGTCAGCCCGAAGCATCGGCGAAACCGAGTCCGCGCAAGAAGCTTCGAAGGGAAAAGGCTTTCGCAGCGGGTACTGTGAGCATTTCATTCAAATTCGAGGAGGCTTCTTCGTTTCGATCTGCAATTTAAAGGGTGTCGACAGTTCGTGAAGAAAGCAAGACGGTGCCGGAATGCGCTTGGATAAATAAGCTGTCATCGGAGAGAATAGAAGCCTCGTCTCCTCCGTTTTTTTTTTTTTTTTTTTTTTTTTTTTTTTTTTTTTNGAACTGTCGACACCCTTTAAATTGCAGATCGAAACGAAGAAGCCTCCTCGAATTTGAATGAAATGCTCACAGTACCCGCTGCGAAAGCCTTTTCCCTTCGAAGCTTCTTGCGCGGACTCGGTTTCGCCGATGCTTCGGGCTGACTGGATTCTTGAAAAAAAAAGTTTCCTCTTATGCACAGACCTCTCTTTGGGGAATGATTCATGTCGGCTCTCTTGCTCTTCGCATCCACTTTTCTGCTCCCTCCGCTCTCACGGGAAGCTGCAGATAACGAAAAAGAGGAAAAAACCCGGTGAAAAGCAAAACGCACAGAGCGAGTGCCGACGCATTTTGTCATTCATCTGATCCGTTTTGTCATTCATCCGCGATGAGGCAACGAGGCGAGAGACTCTGTCGAGACAGATATCGAAGAAATCCGTTTTCGCGAGAGATTTCAGTGACGTCCTCGATGAGCCCTTTGAGGGATCGATGCTAGCAACAAAGAGGAGGATCTGTCCCCTGGAAGGCGGAGGATCTGTCCCCTGGAAGGCAGAGGATCTGTCCCCTGGAAGGCTGCCATCGATGACGTCGCTGCGATTTTTCGAGTGAAAGCTCGACCGCGCTTTTCGATTCGATTCTTCTCGTCGGTCGATCCTCGAAGAGAAGAAATGAAGCGCTTTGTGGTGTGGGTGTGTCTGTGTGGGTGTCTGTGTGTGGGCGTGGTAGTGCGAGTGTGTGGGCTTAGGCATGTTAGCGATAAGCTTACTTTCGCGTGTTAGCAAGAGGCTTTACGGGAATGCTATAGCTTTAAACCTCACCAAATTTCTTCCACAGCCCAGATAGGAGACGCAGACGTTTTTTCGGATGCATCTTACCGAATTTTTACAAATTCATCGCGAAATAAATGCGAAATTTGTAAGCTCTGGTGCACTAAATGTTAAACTCTCTTCCGCCCAAACGTGGTCCAAAAACAGGGCAAAAGACAGAGAAGGCGAAATTGGATGACTTAAAATTCGACTGGATCGAATGATTGCTCGGTTAAAGCCTCGAACAGTAATGCGGTTCGTTTGTCAAAACTCGGAAGCATCACAGACGCATTTGGAATAATGGGGCGGCGGGAGGAGCCCAAACTCGAGTTGGTCGTTCCGGTGACAAAGTATTTCGCCCCGGGGTTCGGGTCGGCCGGATTAAACGGTTGACGATGGGCAGAAAGGCCGGGGCGTGGAAAAACCAAAAAAAAAAATACGGGGAAGAAAATCGGCGATAAAAACTCCGCGACTTCACCAGCGAAGACACACAAGGGTCCACCTGCACTCGCATTGCTCTCGAGACTGAAGGGCGATGCACGCAAGACAGACTCCCTCCGTTCATCACATCGCCATCTGCCACCGATCAGGGGAAGACAACGATTAATGGAGTGAGAAACGAGTCGGGGCCGAGTCTCGCTGCGGTGGCCGGCTCGAGTTTCGAGGAAGTCGACTAGGTGGTTATTAAAGCTGTCGCCCCTTCGAGATGCTTTCGAATTTTTTTTTTCGGACGGATTTCACCCATGGCTTAAATTTTATCGAAACTCGATGGATATTTTGGAGTCTGTCAAACTCGATTATGTTTATTTTCTTTGGACCGCACTCTTCACGCAGTGGATCTTTTCAGGAGGCAATCTCTTCTGCATCCCATCCGAACGCGCCCGACTTGGCTTTGGCCTGTTTCTTCGCATCCTTTTCCAATCACACTCAATCAAAGTTGGATCAAATCAATCAGCGGACAAATGACGAAACGATCGTGGCAACCTTCCCTCCAGGCCGACCACAGTTCGACCTCCCTCCCCCTACTTCATCTCTTCTCGCTGCGGCAAGGCCCTAGGAGACCCTTCCATCCCTATTCCCCACGGCGGTCGTCTCTTTTATTCCCACCAGTCCGAGCGTCCTTAGAGTACAAGAGAGATCCTCCGGAGGAAGGCATTCCCTGCGTTGACTGCATTGCACGGCCGACAAAGCAGACGGCCTTGGGGTCATACAACGCCTCTCTTTTTCCCCCGGTCTCCCAGAGTAACACTCGTGCTTTCTCGGCGTGCATGTATGTTTGTGAAAACAATTTTCCTCCTGTTTGCGTGTGAGGTTCGCGGCGCACGGAAACACGTCGAGTCGGCTCAGCCGTCGCAGCATGCCCAAACACAAGGCATACTGAAATGTCTAAGTCGCAAATTCGCTTTTACGTCGACCTTCAACCCCAGTGTTAAAGCGTTAAAGCGACTTATCTGCAATCGACTTCTTCAAGCGACTCAACCCACCTCTGCCAACCGATGTAACGGCGTCAGAACACTTCAGCTTGCACCTGGAAACGTGGAGAGACGACTTGGCTCGGTAGCTTCCAATGCGCATGCGCAGTGGAGATCAGCTGACCTCGAGACCAGCCTCGCGCATGCGCGTGCCTTGACGGCTGAGTCGACTCAGCGTGTCGCCCGCAAACAGAGGGGCAAATTGGTTTCACAGACACACTTGCATGCCGAAAACGCGCGAGTGTAAATTACGACGGAACAGATGAAGGAAACACGGCTGGAGCCTCTCGACGCGAAATTTGTTTACCGTGACGCACACGGAATCATGAAAGGCAGGTTTTTCTTAAGACGACTCAGGGTCGAGAGATATATGAATGTTCCTGTTGGCACAGCCCCTCCTCGCAGATATCGTTGAACCTGAATTGCATGTAAGTAAAATAAACCCTCGACTGAGTAGAAGCGGAAGGAAAACCGTCGCCTTCGCATTTCCCCCGGCGCCACTTCGTCTCCACCGAACGGGAAACGCGAGATCGTTACGGGATTCGATGAAGAGGGAACGGTGGGGGGCGCAATTTGGCAAGGGGATCCGATGGCTGTCGACCGAAGAGCAATCGCTGTAGATCCCCCGTCTACCTCTTCTACTTAATCCCTTCCCCTCCGTCTCTCATCGACAAGGGCAAGATCATTACACGGGGATTATAGGTAGACAGACGTGGCCTATATCGGGAGGCTTGATCTATAAAAGCGAATCCCTCGATTTGTCTTCGTTCCCCGAAGGTCTCACTCCGTATGGGCGACGATGCCCAACGGTCGTCAGCGACTGAATTAACTCAAAATTATGCCAATTCCAACCCATAACAGAAAGTCCTTCGTTTCGTGTTTTGGCTTGAGCTTGCTGCAATCAGTTTTACCCATACGTTTGGCCGTAGATTGTTTTAAATCCAATATTTCCCGAGAAGCAATATTTAGTAAAGTTTACCCGCCGTCACATGAAGCTTCGATATGGAGGGATCTTCCTTTCAAATCAGGGTTGCCAAATTTTTCGTTCACTCGCAGCATGGACCAAAGCCGGAATCAGGATGCCTTTTCTCCTTCGATACCGATGAGGCATTCGAGGCAATCGAATTCCAAGTGTCTGTCCCACGAGTGGACCCAAAGAAGATAAACGACGAGAGATGATACAAGGCGTGGGAAAGCTGCTCGAGATAATCGAAACTCAGAAGCGAAAAAAGACGCAACGGATCGCGCACGACTAAGCGAAGGGTCTCCCAGCTGACCGAGGAACGCCGTTCTTCATCTGGCAACACTAAGCAGATAAGCAATATTGCCCCCAAATGACCCACCGAAGGCCAAGCACACATCTATCTCTTTGCATGCCTCACACTGTCCCATTCATCAAATCGTTTGTCCTCGAGCGAGTGCGTTTTTTGCTGCCGGATAGAATATAGTCGGTACTGGCAGCTCATTACTCTATTACTCGAGGTTATTACTCGAGGTTTTTACTCGAGGTAATTACTCGAGGAGAGAGCGAGGCAAGTTCGTGAGTACCTCACTCGACGAAATCGGGTCTCGCAATTTTTCGCAGTGGTGAACCCAACTGATTCTTCAAATTTCAGTATTTTGTTTGTACCTTTTGTACTTGGTACTTTTTAGGTCAAGTTTTTTGCACTTCGGTTTTCTGCGTCACAAACTGTAACTCCAGGTTAAAACCTCCCTCGTCAAGCTCCAGTACTCGGAAAGTACTTCCCACGCCGAAAAACTCCGCATCAAACAAATTCGATCGGTACTTCATTCGCTCAACTCGGTTCATTAGTTCTGGCTATAGGGGCCAAAATAACGAGCAGGTCCCCAACCGCGAACATAGAGCTCTTCGCCAAAACAGCATAATAATGGATGTACAGCATCATAATGGATGTACAGCATCTTAACGGATGAAACTCGAGGCACTCGGAAACCAGCCTGCCGATTTTGAAGCATTGCGCGAGTGCGAACGCGAGTTACGAGGCTCTGAAGTTGCACGGGCAAGGGACACAATCAAGCCTTATCGTCCCTGATATCTTGGGATTATGGGCGAAGATGGTTTTCTCCGCTTCCTCTCATTGATACGTCTCTGTGGCTTTTTACAATGTGCCCTTTTTTTTACCTTTTTTTTTACGAGAGCATATGCTGTATCGTGCAAAAGAGGGATCGTGTTTTGGCTCTTCTATTGTAAATAAACCAATTTCTCGACTTCTTTACTTCCTTCACATCCGAGCCAGAATTCCCACTATGCGCACTATTCGAATACGATCCAAGGAATGTCAAAGCACGTTTGCGGGAGTTGATATATAAACATGTTGATTCGATATATAAACAGGGACAGCTGGCTTGAACGTGACTCGACTTCAACCAGTGTGGTCCTTGTCTCCGCGAATTTCTTTGCGACGAGTTTCGGTTTCGATGGGCTCGGTTTCGGTTTTTTTTTTTATTCGCGGAAATGTAAATGCGTTCGTGGTCGCGAATGACGCTTTCGAGGGGAAAGTAACGAGATCTTTTGCATTTACTGCGTTTCTTGAGAGAACTACCCTCCGACTGCGTTTCGTTTTGCATTGTGTCTACACGAACCGATCTTTCCGTCTCGGGCTGTGCCGGCGAGATAAGGAAAGCGTTTCGTCCCATCACGTCAAAATTTAGGGGTCGTCATCGGGAAATGGAGTTTAACGAACAAACAAATCAGACCCCGAACGGTGAAGTGGGCTCTCGAGTGGCGATAAAAGAAGGCAAGCTAAAACGCTCACCGAATGCCAGAAATAATTGAGCGGCTTTCGCGACGGGACGAGCAGCCGGCGACCGACGCCGACGACTAATGGAGTCTGACAGTGTTGCCAGGCCGATGGGACGAGGCAGTGTTGCCGGGTCGTGCCCCGAGGACGACAAGGTCGGACGAAAGACGCATAAACACTTCGATGAGGTCGGCATTCGAGAATCTCACTCGGCGTGAGATTCGATTTTCGGTCTGTGCACTGAGCATTCCTGCCATGCAGCCATTTCGAATTTTTCCCCTCCTCCCTCCTCGTGTCCTTATCAGACGCAGGCTGAGATATCTCAATCCAAGTCTGGTTACCCAACTCATTTCGAGAAGTGATACTTCACTCTATCTGTCGGTAACTGTACGGTCTCCTGCCCGTACCGGGGCACCTGCGCGCGAGATAGCTCTCATCGCTAAGACACCGAATGAAAAGGAAGAAAGATATACGTGATGGAGATTGATATGTGGGATTTCACGTATCTGAGCTTGTCTAATATTTCATTATGGAATGCGGAAAGTGAGTTATAGATGATCTGTGACAGTGCTGCCTGATCGACGATGAGTTTCAGACTCGGCCGGATGCGAGCACTGTTCGACGGGAGAGACGTCACGCGAGATATACTCGGGAAATTTTTTTAAAATGCCAGGTCATCGTTCCGAAGGACTCTTCGGGACCGGTTGGAGTTCATGGCCGGATTCGCCTGCGAAAGAATATACCAAAAGAAGCAAGCTTGTCGCTGCCTAAGTCGTAGTTGGTTAGACAGCTCTTCAGGGAAGCCTTCTTTCAAGCGTAATTCCTTTCAGCCTTTTCTTCTTCGACCATTCTAGTTTTAATGAAACCGACAACTGCGATGATAAGCCAACCCGTTCGCACTGGCAGCGATTGGCGGTCTTGCCAGCGTGGGAGAGACGTTTCAACCTCTGTCTTACTTAAACCACCAACTAAGGGAAGCGCGAACCCGACATCCATCCTGCCACAACCGAGAGAGTGGAAGGGGAAAAGCTGACCCAATCCTTCCTGAATTTCGTCAGCTCTCTTGGCTTTTCTCGATATGGCCACACCGGAGTGCCCTGTTCCGCCGTTGTTTCGAGAGCCGTCCCAAGGCTTCGACCGATTTCCTTCTCGCTCGTGCGTTCAAGTGCCAGCTGCTGGCGGAACTGCTGGGGGTTAGATCGTCCCAGTCTGATAGGAGTAGTTAGAGAAGAGATAAATCTGAGTTATGGATCATGACGGCACCCCCAGTATCCAATTATCTACCTCTTGCGACGTGCAATTAATTACTCTACCTTCGCTAAGAGATTTCTTATCGAATGTACATCGACTGCTCCATGCAGGCCTCCGAGAACGACGTGTCTCAATTTCTGGGGAGAAAAACCTTCAGCCATTCATCTTCCTGGGCTTTCTTTATTCGATAAAGCAACCTGGCGCTTTTTGTTCGGCCTCACGAAATTTCCCAGGGGAGTGTCATGAAAGCCACATTTACGATTCCTTTTCCGAAAGGGGGAATTCCATTCCGAGTTACATTCCAAAAGTTTTCTCTGGGATTTTTCTATTTGGATGTGAATCATTAATCATTGCAGCGCGACTGGAACACAAAAGCAAAAGACAAATAGTGGAAATTTGCCTTTTGCTTTCGACCGGAGCATGCCCTTTGAGGATTGTAATTCAGTAAGAAGCCGGGGAAGCTCATTCCATCTGTCGTTTGAGAGGGGGCTCCCATTCAGCGAGTCACTGAACAAACACGCCAGAAAACCCTTCGACACGGAGTGAGCGTCGCGTGGGATCGCGCAGCCGAAGCCAAAAGGCACGATCCCATTCCGGCGGTTCTTATTGCCATCCCGGCGGTTTGTACTGGAGTTTCGCCCCAGCCTCTTTCCGGTTATGCGCAAGATTTGAATTTTAGAAGCTCACAAGACTTCTGAATTGGGGTCATATTCTGCCGATATACAGGTATCGGCCCGATATTCATGAACGCGTTGACAGAGATAGGGTTCTCTTCGCAGCATTTAGGAATGCCGTTTGTGTTGCAACAGACAGGTTCACGGCATGAAATTGGGTTCGGATTGCCGCCAGCTGGGGTGGGCCGATCGCACATCGGTTCACGAATCTTGTCTTTCATAGCAGTTCATTAGTGGCTCGAGGCGCAAATCAATAACGATAACAATATACTCAATATTAACTTTGAAGTACTTTCCTCGCGATTTGAAACCTCAAATTTCGATGGTTAAGTCGCAAATCAGATCGCTTTTCATAAATATAAAAATCATCATATCATCATGCCTGAACACTTTTGAGACATGACCCACATCAAACGTCAGAATGCGATTTAAATCATATTTAAATAAAATCACGACGTGATCTTCTCAAGCCCTGACCATCACGTCGTAAACACGATTCAGCCCAGTTAGGTTTGAATGTCATCGGCACTGCGATATTTCCGCCTCATTCCCTAGCCGGCGAGAATTTCCAGCCGAGAACCGGGGCATGCTACTATGTGCTTTCCGATGCTTCTTTTTGGAAGACCATGCTTTCGAAGACTATGCTTTAGATCACCGCTGGCGATTCGTACGGCTTCTTTTTTCCCCCTTGCTTTTGGATGCGTTGTCCCACGTGATCAGGTCCCTCTGCTCTCTCCCGAAAACGTTTTGAACTCCTTTTTTTCAGTCTCGAAACACGTTTCTCGCCACTCGGGATCGTTGGACATTCCATTTGAATGGAAGAAAAATCCTAGATCCAACGAAGTTACCTCATCCGGCCGAGCGGAGCCTAAGCTAAGAGTGTATTCTGTGACGTTTCGAGAGATATTTTTCCCTATTCCAACCAAAATATTGAAGTAAGTCTATTGGCACTTGATCTTGTAATAATTCGACTTAGCAATTTATACTTTCGAGTTCAATTGGAGAGCACGGAAAGAAAACGCGCTGAGGGATTGAGGTCAGAATTGATTTTATTCCGGTTTTCGGCTATATCTTGGGTAATTCTGCACACTAAAAACCGACTACTTCAGAGGTGTTAATGTTCATGAAAATCTGGAATATCGAGGTCTATTTGAAAACATTAGCTCTATAGCGCTTTGCATGCTTTTTGCATATTTAAGCTATTTTGATGCATCTCAAAAGAATGAGCTTGACAAGACCTGAAGAGCGCACAAGACCGTCGTTGTCGCATGAATCAAGTCCGTTCTGGAAGTTTTTGCTCAACGAGAGAATTTTCGTTCGTCAGTACTTCTCAGCACATGTGTACTCGTTCTGCGATAGTCACCCCTTAAAGGGCCGTCATTGTTCTGAGGCAAGCCAAAAAGCTTCTTATGGTATTGGATTCTTAAAACTTTGAGTGAAAGTCCTGAGTATTGCCAGCACCAATACGAATTATGCCTCCTCACTCCTCGTCTCTCCGAGTTGGAGTGAAATCGAGGGAATCTGAGTCTGAGAACCAGGAAAGTCAGGCAGGTGCAATGCTGCCAGAGGACGGTCAGACGTCCACGTGGAACTCGTGGGGTCTTGGCGCCATGTACTCGGGATTGCAGATGCCACTGGGAATTGCGGCTCTCGAGGGATGACGATATTCATCGGCGCCATTTTTCTCGATCGTTGTTGGAAAGGGCTTTTCCCGGTCTCATCGGTTTATATCGACTTCGTGTCTTCCTTTTCCCTGGTGGTGATGATGACCGGGATAGCCTCATGTTTAAGCATGCATGCCGAATGCACAAAAAAAATACCGATCAATCCGGTCAACGATGCAAATGTTGGCATTGAGCAATCGAGTAGCGTCCTATATTTGCATTGCCGAGTCCTCTTGCTTTTTCTCAGGGTTTTTTGCACGACTACAGAATCCAGCAAAGAAAAGGTGAAGATTTCAGTAACAAAGAAACTAAATCTTGGCACGCCATTCACCGACTGAAACTTTCTTCCGTGAACTCCACAGCATAGACCAATGCATTATGTGCCGTGGAACCGCGTTCCCCCATGAATTCACTTACAGGTCGACTGCATCACCAGGTTCAAGGTTCAAAGTTTGAATCGAGAGTGTTCGGATGCAATCGCGCCCGTATCGGGAATCCGAGTGGAAGCGTAGCGTTCCTCTGCCCGTCCCCATGCAGAGGCGTAACGAGCACATTCTCCATGGAGGGGGATGTAGGGCGATAAGGAGCCGACCTGACGACAGTGGAGTTCTTTGTGAATCGATGCCTACAACTAATGAGCGCGCAAGTATAATTGGAATCGCCTGTTTGTGAATTGCAATGAAAGGTGAAGGCGTGTGGGTGTCATCGCCGATTCAGAGGAATTCATCTGTAGATAATTGGACATTAAGAATATGACTCTCTTCCTCCATTTCCTCATTGGTTGCGCCCTTAGATAGGCCCACGAAGACAAATGTTTTTGGTGGGAGAGTCTCAATCGACTGCCTGGCTACTTACTGCTATATTGCCCCCCTTTTTTGTCGTGTCTATGCTATGTAAGGGGCTGGAATTGCACGTTCACCAAGGGCATTCCCACATACCAATGTAAAAACGTGATTCCGCGCCTCGGATATTTTTTGAGGATTGCGTAACTTGAACTGGTTTTCCTCTCGCTCTGCTGTTTCCAGGGATAAAACGACCTCGCTCCTCGTTAGCAAAGCCCGTAATGATGTTAAATGCCTGGATGAAATTTCCCCTTATTAACCCTTTCTCTTGGAAACACAGTTCGCGCGAGTCTAAAGCCTACTTTTATAGCTTCTCCAGTTCCATGAAACTCCCTCCCTCCCCCCCTTTTCTTTTGCAGGCTGCCAAAATTAAACATAATACTCAAAATCAAGCCTCGCCAGTGCCACGTATAATGTATGAATAACGCGCAATCTCACCTTGCATTCTTCTCTTGTCAATAATTCCATGCGAAATGGCGCGCACGTGAGGTGACTGCGAGATATGAAAGAATTACATAGAAGTTGCCAGACTTTTTGACAAGCTCGCGTTCGTTGTAGAGGAACGTTGATTTCAGCGATCTATCATGCGTTGGTCATCGCTCAGTCGCGAGCGATGACAAGTGAGTGATTGCTCTGCGATGCAAGCGTGGTGTGACTCGAGGCAACGGGGAGAAACGATTTTGATTCCTTGCTGATTTCCGGGAGAGAGAACGTTGCACTCACCATGCAGGCTCCGGGGGGATGCAATGATATCGAGATCACTTA